CTTGCTGGAATAGAAAAGTTTGAGGGCACGGTGGAAGGTGCATAGATCTGGGATCCTTCCTATCTCCAGGGGCAGCTCGTTCCAAAGGCCAGGTGCCCCCACAGAGAAGGCTCTGCCCTGGGGGCCGCCAGTCGACATTGTTTGACCCACGGCACCCTGAGGAGCCCCTCTCGGTGGGAGTGTACTGGCCAGTGGGAGGCTACCAGTGGCAGAAGGCAGTCTCGTAAATACTCAGGTCCTAAGCCAGTGATGTTGCTATGGAAAATAGCATTGAGCTGGTTTCAGCTCAGTGAAAATAGGTAACTAATGGGTAATAAATACAATAAATATAGATAATAAAACAATCTTTATATGTATATTTATAAAATATTACAGTAAAGGATAAAAAGAATATAGATAAATTTTAAATTTATTTTTAATGAAGTCATAGACTAGATAAAAAAGTGTTTTTTTAAAAAAATCTGAATATAAGCTTTATATTTAGAGGAAAACATAAAGGTCTTTTTAGATATGTGGAAAAAACTTATGCAACTTTTTGCAACTATTGTAACTAACTATTTTACAAGCATAGTCAATGGTTATTGAAAGTTATATGTGTACCATAGCTCTGTGATAAAGCAAGTATTTTGAATCGTAAGAGTCTACATATTGATTTGTCAAAAGGTTAGGATTGCATGTTGAAATTAGAGGGCAGTTAAATATATTTTCCAGGAATTAAGACAAATTATCATTCATTTTCTCTATTCTCGTTATGTCCATGTATTGCATTTTGTTGTCAGCAATGTATGATTATGCAATTTTGAACTTTGATTCAAAGCTGTGGATCAAAGTGTAACTAATACTCTACTTTGTGCCCTGTGTTCTTCCTGTTCTAAACAAAATAAATATAACTACCCTACTTATTCTTCATTACTATTTGCTGACTTACTTTCACAACAGAGATTAATTGGATTGATTTTAAGTTTATATTCAGTTGATTTAATGTAAATGGTGTTCTTTCTCATAAACTGATAAACACATTAACTTTTAAGGTAGTTTTTGGTAATTCGTAGTTAGATATAGCATTACTATTACTATTTTGGGCAGCCCAGGGCACTTCAGGTTGTTTTCTGTGTTTATATGTTTCCAAAAACATATAAACCTCACCTTTTTTGCCTCACAGCTCCTGTTATTTCTTAAAGCCTTTTCTGAAACAGAGCAAGCAAAATTGGCAATCCTCACTGGAATCTTACTAGCTAATGGAACACTACCAGCTACCATTTTAACAAGCCTTTTCACTGACAGCATTGTCAAAGAAGGTAATTAAGAGATTTTCTCTTCTCCAAAGGATATACATTATCTTCTCCCACAGGATAGCTTTATCTTTATTTTGAAAAGGCAGGATCTTTGACGTTGTGGCTTTAGAATTAAGGATCACTCTCTTGAGGTCTTATGTATTTTCCATTCCCTCCTCTTAGAATTAATAAATTGTAAACCTTACATGCTGTGCATGTATAAATTGTTTATTGATAATTTTGTTAGTTCATCATGTTAATATGACTAGGATTTAATTTGAGAATCCTAAAAGTCATCTTGAAAATTTAATGGGTTTTGTTTTGTTTAATGGACAATATCTTTGCAGGGCTTAGTACATTAAAAGGAAATAATTACCTTCCCAGAAAAAGGCTGAGGAGGTTAGAGGAAATCAGGAAATCAGTATTTCCAAGAAGTGACCTTGAATCTAACGGCCAAGTAACATGTTAGGGCAATTGTATTTATAAAATTGAGTGTGCTTAAAGCCGCTGGTACTTCTCTCTTATCAAAACAAACAAACCAGCAACTGGAACTTCTTAGAAAGAAAAGAGATAATCATGTTTTCTCCTGCTGTTTTCCTTTAAGGATTGTTCTTTTTTGAAATACATTCAGGGTAGGGATAATATTTTAAACAATAAAAGTGTGATATTAAAATCCACTATTTTCTGCATTGATTAAAGATTTTGAGGCTTCTTTTTTGTTAACAGGATGTTATTTATATGTACCCCAACTTTCAAGTATAATTTATCTTTGAGAGAACGCTAAGTACAAGTTTTAATAGTACGTTTGCTCCCTAAAGACTCTTCATTGTGGGATTAAGAAAAGCTAAATGATTCCTCAATAAATCTCTGAAAATTTATTTTTTTTAATAACATAAGTGAAAGCCTGCATTGAGGGAGAGATAACAAGGCCATTACTGTTCTCTTCCACTTGGTTACATTTTTGGGATGCCTGCAATGCTATCAAGTGTTTCAAGATGCTACAGCTTGTATCAGGGACAAAAGGGAGGATTCTACTATGCATGTCCATTGATGAAATTCACTTATGGCAGTGTTTCACAATCTCAGCAACTTCAGAATGTATGGAATTCAACTCCCAGAATTCTCTCAGCTGTCATGCTGGCTGGGGGAGTATTGGAAGTTAAATATTTTAAAGCTGATAAATTTCAGAAACGCTGCTCCATGGACATAGTTGAATAACTTATTTTGAATTCAGATGAGTTTTTCTTCTGTTCAAAAAATGTTAGAAACAATGGTATAGTTAGGTATATTTCTAGTTGTTCTCAACAGATGATAACTATGATAACTATAACACATGCTGTTCATTTATGTTTCCTTCCATTCTCTTTTTCTTTTACTTTCTTGTAAAAAAAGGAATTTTAGACATCCAAATATTTAATCCCTTCTGAAAACTTATCCTTTTTGGCTTACTAAATTGTTTTGCATATGTATAATCTGAATATGTATAAATGTATAACTATAATTTCCTTAATTAGGGTGTGACATCGTCCAGACATGGGTTGCTTCAGTCGGGTCTGCCACAGGCTGAGTCATAGTTTTTTGACCACGCCCCTTGGTCCTCCCTTTCAGGCTCAGTTTCGACTCAGTCGCCCTGAGAGAAACATCTGCAGATCTGGCTCTCAGACCAGGTCTGTTTGATCACACACAATTTGTGAGTTTTTTGACTTTTTATTTTACTTTATTTTTCTCTACCTTTTATTTTTGAATTTTTATTTGATTTTTTTCAAAGATACCGGTCTACCAGGCTATTTATTTTTCTTGTAGCCTGCCAGTCTATTATCTACTGGAGCGACCTGGTTTACCAGGCTTTGCTTCACTCCTGGCAGCAGCCATTTTGGAAGCCCCATTTTTAAGGGAAAATTTTCTTTTGCTTTTTCTTTAGTTTTGGTGAGCTCTACACCACCAACGATTATAAAAGGGCTCAGACCACTATACCACCAACGATTTAAAGTGGTTCCCTGGTAACAGCTCCAGGATCACTAAATACGGTCACCGCTGCTGCCCTCAGCTCCCAGAACCAACGATCAGCTGTAGGATGGCTCTTTAAAGCATCGCAGCACTTCAGTTTTGCCGCTTTGCCACCAACGAGCTTAAAGAAGAGGTTTGGAAGCAATTTCTCTTCCCCTCTTACCACCAACGAGATTTATTCTTTAAGGAGAATTGCAAGGTTATTCCTTGCTCTCTCCCTGTGGCATTTCCAGCTATCGGTTCCTGGAATCATGGCTGTGGAGGTGCTTTAGGGCTTCCTAGATGGTCACCTCTGGAGCAGCGTTTATCCTGCTCACATGTGACCTGGCAGCCATTGAGCTTAACGCCAGAGTCATCGCCATCTTTGTTTATCACTCCACGTGGCGAAAGTGAAACTAACTCTTCTCCAGTCGACATCTTGGTCACAGTGAGTATACTATAAAGATGGCGGATCGTTCTTCCCAAGGGGAGGGAAATACTATGTCCACAGGAAAGAAAACAACTTGCAAACACAAGCACCTTTCTAAAGCAGAGGAAAAGGATTTGGAAAGGAGACATAAAACCTTAGAGAAGCAAATTAGCAAGGCTGTTGCAACTGTGCCCAGTAAGGAGGTTTCTCCTCCTCCATCTATCCCCCCCCCTCCATATTCCTGCAGTTAGCTAGGCATGGTCATCGGAGGAAGAGGGAGGAGTCCTTCTTCAGCAAGAACAAGGCACATTCCAAAATCCTTTTGCAAGTCAATTAATTGCTCCTGCAACTCCTGATTCTGGTGGACATGTGGCAGTAGCAGCCTCTGCAAGGGAATCTCCCTTGCCTGTGCAAACCCCTGAGGATCCTTTTAAAAATCTACCAGTAGGATTGAGGATTCTAATTGATCAGGCCATCGCTTCCCGCGTGGCAGCTGCCTTTCAGGGTCATCACTCTGGTTCTATAATTTCAGAGCATTCTGCTCAAATTAGAGGCTCCCCTGCAGTTAGCCTTACTGGCTTTCACTCCCCTGCAGCTTCTAAAGCTAGTGATGTCGAGCCTGACAACGTTGCCAATGCCCCATGAGTGGGCCGATAAGATGAATATGGTATGGCCCCAGGTCAGAGAGGCATTAGATAAAGCAACTCTCGCATATAAAAGCCAGGCGAATAAGAAACAAGCACCATTTCAACCATTCAAGGAGGGGACATGGTATTTCTCTCTACCAAATACATCAAATTAAGGCTCCCTAGTAGGAAACTAGGACCGAAATATCTGGGCCCGTTTCCAGTGATACGAATAATAAATCCTGTGACTGTAGTACTAAAGTTACCTCCGTTATTGGGGAAGATCCACCCCGTATTTCATAGTAGTCTTCTCAAACCCGCCAAACATATCCAAGTATTCAGACCGTCCCGGTCCGGTCACGGAGGGCCATTACGAGATTGATGAAGTCCTAGATTCTAGATGGACAAGGGGGGTCCTCTCTTACCTTGTTAAATGGAAGTGTTATCCAGTAGAAGAGGCTTCTTGGATACCGCATAGTAATGTAAAAGCAAACCGACTGATTCGACGGTTTCATAGAATGTATCCTCACAAACCACGGTTATCTACTAATACGTGTAACTTATCTCTTACAGAAGGACACGTGGTGAAAGGAGAGCCGCCTGTCGAGCCTGGCAACCTGCTCGACATCGCTAACGCATGCTGAAAGCATCGACGGACATATACATACTTGGTGGTGGTGGCACTGGGTGAAGGCGGCCGTATGCGGGGTGTGGGGTGGTGGTATCGGGTGCGACGGGATTAGGGCCGTTCCGGAGGACACAGTGGCAGCACTTTCCAGAACACGCTGAAGACCAATTACGCCCCTAAAAGAGGGGCGTGGTAATAAACAAGGGCGCGGTCTATGCCCCTAAACGAGGGGCGTAGTAACAAGGGCGCGGTCCTAATGAGTTAATGGAAAGATGGGCTATATAAACGCCCCATTCTTGGTGTAACGTAGTGCCTATTTCAATCGTGTTTACGAATCACAGTGTGTAACCGGATGCGGATGCGAATAAACCAGCGTGCCAAAAGAGCTGAATAAGGCTGTAGCTGTGTTTTGATTGCGTCTCGCACGGCATTCCTGAGAAGTGAAGCTTTTGTATTTGAGGAAGAATATCACTCTGATTTATCAGATGATGAAGGGGTGATTCAAGATCAACCTGCCTTTACAGGTTTACAGTATTTCCCCCAAATAAATTCAAGTCCTTATTGCATAAGGCACGCATCACTGCTGCTTTGAAGGAAGATTATTATCTTAAGGAAATGCAAGAAGCTCAACGGAGAGTCACAGGGACTTTTTACTGAGTCTCCCCCTGAACAGTGTTATATTCCAACCCCACAACTGTTCATAGACATGGTTAAAAAGCAATGGTCTGGGCCTGCAACCATGTCATCTGTACATGGTTCAGACAAGAGATATTATGCTGTAGCTCCCAAGTTTGCTCAATTATTACAAGTTCCCTCAGTGGGCAGTCCTGTAGCAGCTTTCTCCTCTTCCTCTTCATATGTGGCAGGGGATACCTCTGAAGGTCTACAACCAGAGGATAAAAAATTGGAATTTCTTTTCAAAAAGAATCATCAAGCTGCAGCATGGACAATTCAATCGGCTTCCTCAGCTTCATTTTTTAATCGAACTACCATCATTTGGCTTCAACAGTTACAAGCAAGGGTGCCCCCCAGTGAGGTTCCATCAGGAATATTAATAAAATCATTGGTTCCATCAGGGTATTAATAAAATCATTGCTGCCACTCAATTCTCAACTAATGCAACTTTAAATTCGGCCAAATTTGCATCTAGAGCTTTAGCCTCTACAGTATCAGCCCGTAGGATGCTCTGGCTACACAAGTGGCCTGCAGATCTTAAGGCCAAATGGCGTTTAGCTGCAGCTCCATACTCAGCAGAGAAACTATTTGGTGAGTTACTTGACCCTCTTCTTATTGAAACTCAGGACAAACAAAAGGTTCTACCTGTCTAAACGCTTTGACAAAAGGACAGAAGGTCCTATTACAGGAGAGCTTCCTTTCATTCCTACTCCCAAGGAAGCTCCTCCAGTCAGGGTTACCTTCAAGGATCAAACCGGCCTTCGGACTGTCAATCCTTTCGAGATAGGAACAAGCAATTCCAGCAGCCCAAGTTGTCCTTTCGCAGCTCTGGCTACTGCCAGTTCCAAAGCCATAAATGACTCACTACCAAATCCTCCCTTAGGAGGTCGCTTGGCCCTCTTCGCGGACAGGTGGGAAAGCTCAACCCCAGATCTCTGGGTCCTCTCAGTAGCGAAATTCAGCCTTCCCCTGGAATTCCTCTCCAAGCCTCCTACCCGCTTCATTCAATGTCCATTTTCCAACAGCGAGTCCAAACGTCAACTGATGGACCAAGCTGTTCAGCACCTCCTGCAGATACATACCATAGAGGAGGTTCCCCACGAACAGTGGAAACAGGGATATTACTCCATCCTGTTCGTAGTTCCGAAGCAGTTGGGGGGAGGTGGAGAGCGATTCTGGATTTAAAATCCCTCAACTCTTACATAGTCTATTGCAGATTCAAAATGTGTTCACTAACCTCTATCCTTCAGGGGATTTGTCCCAACAATTTTCTAGTTTCCATAGAATTCATGGAAGCTTACCTTCACATTGCCATCCTGCCAAAGCATCGACAGTACCTCCATTTCAGTTATGCAGACAAGCATCTGCAGTACCGGGTTCTTCCCTTCGGGCTGGCATCTGCCCCAAGGGTCTTCACAAAGGTCCTGGTGGTCATGGCAGCCCGCCTATGGCAAAAGCCAGTAAGGCTCCAGGCTTACCTGGACGATATTCTGATTCATGCTCACTCTCGAGACCAAGCCTTACAGGACCTGGACCTCACAATTTGAACCTTGAATGATCACAGATTCCTGGTCAACTACAAGAAGAGCCAGTTAGTGCCAGTCAACAGGATTGTCTTGTTGGCGCCATCATTGATGCATGTCAAGGAACTGTCTACCTATCCTTGGAATGGCGATCCGACATAAGGGACCTGGTGACTCATATTCACAAACCCCGTCAGTTCCCTTGGCCACTTTGTCCAAGCTCCTAGGCAAGATGGTCTCCTGCGTTCAGATCGTTCCATGGGCGCACCTTCATGCCCGCCACTTGCAGTGCTTCCTGCTTCCTTTCCAACGGAAATGTCGGGCTCACACTATGTCTATTGTCAGAGTTCCACTCTCAGTCAGGCAATCACTACATTGGTGGACATCTTCTCTAGACAAAGGGTGTCTCTTCATGGATCAAAACAGGCTCATACTCACTACAGACGCCAGCTCCATGGCTAGGGAGCTCATCTCGACTCGCCCGTAGCTCAGGGCTGTTGGTCTGTTTCAGACCTAACCAACCCTGTTAATTGGCTAGAGCTGAAAGCCATTCGCCTTGCCCTCACGCAATTTCAACGGTCTGTTCAAAACCATCATGTCCTGGTATTGACGGACAACATGGCAGCGAAGGCGCATGTTAATCGTCAGGGAGGAACTCACTTGAAGCATCTCATGGAAGAATCCTTTCGCCTAGGCAAGTGGGCCAAGCAAAATCTCCTCCATCACAGCGGACCACATAGCAGGGATGGAAAACACACAAGCAGATTTCCTCAGCAGGACCCAGGTGGACAATGCCGAGTGGCAGATCCATCCCGACATATTCCACCAGATATGCAACAGGTTCGGCATTCCGGCCATAGATCTCTTTGCAACCTGAACACCCAGCTTCCTCGCTTTTTCTCAAGGTTCCCGACACCTGGGGCAGAGGGGGTCAATGCTCTTCGACTCAACTGGCCACCCAGTCTTCACTACACCTTTCCACCGTTGCCTCTAATCCAGGCTCTGCTTCGGAAGGTCATCACCGACAGGACAGAAATTATCCTCATGGTTCCACACTGGTGATGTCGCACGTGGTTTGCGGACCTGGTCAATCTCTCCATATCTCACCCTTGGAGGATCCCATCAGACCAGATTGTCCTGCGCCAAGGGAGCCTGCTTCATCCGGAACCTCAGTGGCTCCAACTGACTGCCTGGAACTTGAAAGGGTCCTCCTAAGGCGAGGCAATTATTCAGATAGGGTGATCCACACTGTACAAGCCTGTAGACATAGATCCACAGTTAGGCTCTACAATATCACCTGGCTAGCCTTTTATAGATGGTGTAGGTCCCACCAGATTGACCCTCTCTCAGCCTCACCTCCCCAGATCCTAGAATTCCTGCAGGATGGCTTGGACCGTGGTCTGGCCCATAGCACCCTTCGAAGGCACGTGGTGGCACTGTCTATGGCCTTGTCCAGTTCCTCTGGACAGCCACTCACTCAACACCCTATTATCAAAAAGTTCCTCCGAGGGGCCAGGCTTTTACGGCCCTCCTCAATTCATAGATATCCTACTTGGGATTTGCCCAAAATCCTTAACGCATTAATTGAGGCTCTCTTTGAGCCCCTTCACCCTTAAAGTAGCCTTCCTAGTGGCCATAACATCAGCTTGTCGCATATCGGAGCTGGCAGCCCTTTCTGTTAGAGAAGATCTCTGTATCTTCTGGCCGGACACTGTTGTTTTGAGGTTGGATTCCTCCTTTATCCCTAAAGTTAATTCCCTCTTTCACAGGGCTCAGGAGGTTATTCTGCCTAATTTTTGTCCATGGCCTTCTCATAACTTGGAGCGAAGGTGGCACACCTTAGATTTGTGGAAGGCTCTAAAAATTTACATTAAAAGAACTGTCCTTTTCAGAAAATCTGAGGCCTTATTTGTTTCTTTCTTACCACGTTCCCTAGGGTATAAGGTCTCTTCTGCGACAATTGATTGCTGGATCAGAGCTTGCATTGCCTTTGTATATCAGGCCCAGGTGATTGCTGTTCCTAGTCGCATTACTGCCCACTCCACTCGAAGTGCTGCTACCTCAGCAGCCTGGGCAACTCAGGCCTCCCTTGAGGAGGTCTGCAGGGCCCCCATCTGGTCCACCCCCTCGCCATTCATACGACATTACAAGTTAGATGTTTTTGCTTCTGCTGAAGCGTCATTTGGCAGGAGGGTTTTACAACAAGTGCACCACGCAGGGGTCTCCCCAGGCCCTTCGACATCCCGCCCTTAGGACTGCCAAAACTTTGGTATGTCCCATGACTGGATGATGTCACACCCTAATTAAGGAAATTGGGCATTGGTCTTACCTTGAATGCCGAATTTCTTAAGGGGCGTGACACCCTTTCTTAAGGGTGTCAGAACCTGTACAGTTTGTTTGTTAATGTTCAAGAAGTTTATTTTCCAGTTGTTCTGTTGGACCGGTTCTCTATCTCTGACTGTGGTGGTTCCTGTTGGAGATCTTTCTTGTGGCCCTTCTTCGCCGAAACTGAGTCTGAAAGGGAGGAGCAAGGGGCGTGGTAAAAAAACTATGACTCAGCCAGTAGCAGACCCGACTGAAGCAACCGATGTCTGGACAATGTCACCCCACCTTAAGAAATTCGGCATTCAAGGTAAGACCATTGCCCATTTTGTATTACTGCAGATAGTTGAAGCATTACAGTTTTAGAAAGACCACAGAATGGGCTTTCAATGAAAGCCATTATATTATAGTACATGAGAAACTGCCAGCCATACATTCTTTTCTGACTGACTAATGTTGAATCCTAGAGATCAAATCAGACCTCACCAATTTGTTATCATACAGAGATTTGGATTGCAATTCCCCTCAGAGCCAGAGATAGTTTTGCCAGCAAAATCTAATGAGAATAGTAGTTTAATTCAGAGGTTTTTAACCTCTGTAACTTTAAGATGTATGAACATCAACTCCTAGAGTTCCCCAGCCAGTCTATACATCCTAACATTGGTGAGATTAAGAAACACTGATCTAAACATCTCTAGAGGTATTAGATTAGATAAAAGACTGGATTAAATAAACACCACAACTTCTTTGCTTATGATGTTTTTATTTTCTGTAGGCATAGCAGCCTCTTTTGCTGTCAAGCTTTTTAAAGCATGGATGCTTGAGAAAGATGCTAACTCTGTTACCTCTTCTTTAAGAAAGGCTAACTTAGACAAGAGACTACTTGTAAGTATTCCTATTCTTATAATTGATGTGACCAATAAGCAAGTTTCTCTAAGAATCCTGAAGTAAACATTTAAAACTGTAGATAAATAAAATATAAATATGAATTTTAAAATGGCAAAACCATAAAATCTGAAGAAAATCATCAATAAGGAACTAACATCAATACTGGGGAAAAAAATTAAAAAGTACCAGAAGGAAAGTATAGAAAATAGAATAGAAAATATTTAAATCCTCAAGTAAATAAAATCCCATCTAGTATGACTAGTATGAAAAGATTCTTTCTTCTGTTAATCATTCACTATATTTCCTGTTTAAGGACTTAATTAATTAATTGCCACTTAAGATTAATCATACAAAGAAATACAAGAATTTCTTTATGAAAAAAATCTGAATGGGGTTCTGGTCAGGGAATTTTCAGTTTTCAGGAGAAGAATGACAAGTTAAAAATTCAAACTGATCATTCCAGTTGTTCAAAACCTGAAATATAAGAAAAGATTCACAAGTTAGTAATGCAAGCTGATCTGATTAATACTTATTTCAAAATAAATAGCTTCTTGGATTTATTCTAAAATAAGCATGCAGGTAGTCCTAGATTTATGACCAGGACCGGTAGTCCTAGACTTAGTGACCATTCAAAATTATAATGGACCTCCCAAGTGTACTTACAGTCCGATTCTGCTGATGTCATGCTCTTGCCAACGTCATGTGACCACATGATGGGTGGTCAGCAAACAGGAGTATATGGCCATTTGCAGCATTCCACGGTCACATGGCCATGTTTTGTTTTTTTGCAGAAAACTGGCATTTAGTTTCAATTTTTGGCAAAATCAGCCCATAGTGAACCATTGGTTTGCTTAATGACTGAGGCATTTGCTTAATGATTGCTTTACAATTGTGCCATTGCTTATTGACCACCACAAAAGATTGGCTACATGGGTAACCCATTATATGACTAATTAATAAGCATATACTTTGAGAACCATTAGGGAAGGCTATCTTCACCTCTTTCTCTCACTCTGGACTGAGCTATCTGTAACTGGAATACACTCCCACCCTCATGAGAATCCACCCTACATTCTATCGTAATAATCTGGAAAACAGTTTGGATTAGTCAAATGGTTTCTGGCCAGAACTGGGTGCTGGCCCATATGTCAGTTTCCTTTCTTTAATCCCTTCTGCTGTTTAAAGTGCTTTAATCCTCTAGATAAACTATTGAGAGTTATCCAAATAGCAGTTACTCTCTAGATTCAGTCATTCTCCATGTGCTGTTTTTGAACTGTGGCAATTTGTGTAAGCCAACTAGGTTCTAAGAGATTAATGCATACTCTCTTGCCTCTTTCTGCAACTTAATGAAGGATTTTATATGCAAGGGTGTAAGGATGTATTCGGCATACAGTCTTCCTCCATTTCTCAGATTATTTATGAATCTGAACAGGATTTAAAATGACTTTACAAAAATAAATAATATTTTTTTTATTACTCTATTCTAGGAACTATTTCCAGCCAACCGGCAGAATGTGGACCATTTTGCCAAATATTTCACGGATGCTGGTCTAAAAGAGCTTTCAGACTTCCTTAGAGTCCAGCAGTCATTGGGGACCCGAAAAGAACTACAAAGAGAACTCCAGGAACGTCTTTCTCAAGAATGTCCAATTAAAGAGGTAGAAAAAATAGTTTTTCTCTTATTTAAGCTACATTAAGAGTATGCCACAAGAGAAAAATAAAATGTAGCTCTTAAGAACAGAATAGCTTCATGTAATGCTTGTTCCATGAACAGTTGATGTTACTGCTCTGATTTTCATAAGGGTTTGCATGCATAAAAGTTAATCATGTAAACCTAGGCATAAGTAATTGTAGGTTCAATTTTAGTTAAATTTTAACACATTTTTGCTATAGCCAATAAAAAAAAAAACTGATACATAGTCTCAAGTGAAGAAAACTCCAGGGGGGGTGGGGGAAATCCTCAAATGCATCTCTGTGGAGAGGCAACTGAACATATCTTAGAATGGTCTATGTTGCTCCATACTTAGCTCTCCATCCCAGTTTTGGACCTAGAGTAGAACTCTTGTAAGATATTGCCAATACTATCTATTGCTGCAATTGTTGACTTGTGACATTAGTTATTGTTTACAGTGCAAGAGAGCAGTTGTAATAGTTGTCGGATGAGAATGGGTGAAAAAGTGACGTTTCTGCACTTGGACTGACTGCATAATCTTTATCAAAGAGATGGAATAGTTTAGCGTATCATGTGAAGAAAATCCCTTTAGTGATTATCAAGGAAACAAAGCTGCCTCCCATATGGGGTTTTACAGATGTAGGAATTCTCACTCACTATGTGAGTATAAAAATGCAGTGAATTTTCTTTTAATTTATGCAGTTGAACATTTCCTGTGGAGTGAGTCTGGTGTATGAACACAATTCTACAAAACCAAATCAAAGGCATACAGGAATATGACATGCTTCCTTCTTTTTTATATATATTTTTCTTGGTTTCTCTATTTTCTCCCTATACTACTGAGAATTGGATCAAAAGAAAAATGTGAACATACCCTTATTGAAAGGCATTGGTGGCAGATAGGGCAATGTTATTTAAGGCAATGGCTTGAAAAATGATGCCTTTTCTGTTTTAAATTTCCCATTCCAGATGGTGCTTTATGTAAAAGAAGAAATGAAAAGAAATGATCTGCCAGAACCAGCAGTGATTGGACTCCTTTGGACTTGTATAATGAATGCTGTTGAATGGAACAAGAAAGAAGAACTGGTTGCAGAACAAGCACTTAAGCATCTAAAGGTGTGCATGTGGGAAATGTTAGTACATTGAGAACAAATGTCTGAATCCTGAAACTAGCTGTGTAAGCAGCTGTTTGAATAGAAGTATGACTGCTAATAAAGAGGCACAGTAGCCTAGCAGTTAAGATTTTGGGCATGTCAACCAGAAGATTGGCAGTTTGAGATCAAAGTACTGTGTGGTGGGGTGAGCTCCTGTACTTGCCCCATCTCCTGCCCACCTAGCAGTTTGAAAGCATGCAAATGCAAGCAGATAAATAGGTACTACTTCTGTGGGAAGGTAACAGCATTCTGTGTGCCTTCGCTGTATAGTCATGCCAATCACTTGACCACGGAAGCGTCATCGGACAACATTGGCTCCTTCAGTTGGAAAACAGCGATCCCACCACTCCTAGAGTCAGGCATGACTGGACAAGGGACTTTACCTTTTTATTTATTATTGCTAATTTACCTTCTTCATAGGCTAGCATTATGTGTCTGCGGTGATAAATTGCACCTGCCTCTTTCAAAATCCATCTGGCTCTTCAAACTTACAACAATGCTTATAACATAATAATTTTGCAGTTCTATTGTCTGGTAGCTTTGGGGATGATTTGCACACCATTCAAGCTAAATAGTTGATAGAAGCTTAATTTTACTATACTATACTATTTCAATTTCAGTGGAATTCTTACACTGTACAAGTGACTGATAATAAACAAAATAAGTGTTTTGTATGTATGTGTGCATACACACTTATCACCTGCCTTCTGGGTTTATATTTTGTAAGAGTATCTAATAGCCCTTTAAACCAACATAAAATGCACTATTTTTTTTAAAAAAAAAACCCGCAATATAGGTATTCCTTAACTTACAACCACAACTGAGTCCAATATTTCTGTTGTTAAACGAGATATTCATTAAGTGAGTTTTCCCCATTTTAGGAACTCTATTGCCACAGTTGTTAAGTGAATCGCTGCAGTTGATAAGTTAATAACAGAGTTGTTAAGTGAATCTAGCTTCCCTATTGATTTTGCTTGTCAGAAGGTCATAAAATGTGATAACATGACCTTGAGACACAGCAACGATCATAAGTATGAGCCAGTTGCCAGGCATCTGAATTTTGATCAGATGATCATGGGGCTGCCAGCAAAGTAAATGTGAAAAATGGTCATGAGTCACTTTTTTCAGTGCCATTGTAACTTTCAACAATCGAGTTGCAAGTTGAGGACTACCTGTATTGAAAATATTGCAAAATCAACTTCTGTAGCTTTCGAAACATTTGGATAATATTCTCCTTGGTATTTATCTATAAATAACTAACCCAATTTCTCCTTTGATTGTTTTAGCAATATGCACCTTTACTGGCAGTGTTCAGCACACAAGGCCAGTCAGAGTTGATCCTTCTTCAGAAAGTTCAGGAATATTGCTATGATAACATCCACTTTATGAAAGCCTTTCAGAAGATTGTGGTGCTCTTTTATAAAGGTACTTTCTTTTATCTATATTTTTTATTTCAGAGTTATTTTTATTGCTTAGATTTTTTAAATCCCATCTTTATTATTTTTATAAATAACTCAAGGCAGCCAACGTATCTAATATTCCTTTCATCTCCTATTTTCCCCATAACAACAAACCTGTGAGGTGAGCTGGACTGAGAGAGATTGACTGGCCCAAAGTCACCCAATTTTTTTTTCATGCCTAAAGTGGGACTAGAACTTCCATTCTTCTGGTTTCTAATCTGGTGCCTTAAACATTGCAACAAACTGACTCTACATACAAATTTTCAGATACATACAAAAAAATACTTTTAAAAAGAAATCTACTAGCATGTAAATAAGAAATTAGTTATCATGAAAACTTATCATATATAAGGAATATATCAAATTATGATCCATTGCTGTTAAAGTAAATCATAAAATGCAATCATGTTTGATAAAACTGGGTTTCCTCCTTTGATCAACTGTGGATGAGTAGGTCTCGATACAATCTCTCTCTTTTATTTCAGTATACAAAAAATAATAAAAATGTGACAGCTGTGTGTATATTTTTACATTTCAATCGTATTTATTTATTTTTCACATTTTTGAAAAGTATCTTCCTCAGCAAGGCAGTGTACAATAAAGTGTAAAAATATAAAAACATAATTTAAGAATTAAAAATTTAAAAAATTAATTTAAAAGGAGATGAGGAAGGATGACCCCAGTTAAAAATTAGTTTAAAAGGGTAAAGAGAGGGCTCTCAGGGCCTCAACCCTCTGGGCTCCCATATGAGGGTAGAGGGCTATCTTTTAATTCCTTTTCAGAAGAGTGATGGCTTGCCACGCCTGGAGGGGGAGTATTAATATTTTCGAAAGAAAATTCATATTCATCATCCTTGGTGTCTATTTCTATGGGTTTTGATATTATATCTTTGCAGTTTTACTAGAGTTAACAAAAGAGTACAAGCTTTAAGCATTTATCAGAGCAGCTTCCAAAAATCCAGCATGTTGCTCAGGACATGTCTTGCCAGAATATCAATATAGAAAGGCTTTTTTCTAAACTGGAATGAAACTTTACTTTCAGCTGCAGACAATGTTTAGCAAAAGGTGGTCTGAATTCCCTAGCAATTCTACTTGTGGTACATATGCATCATATAATAACACCCAAGAGACTAAAGTTCTCCCACTTCCTGTAATCACTTATATGGCTATTATTATCCCCCTGGGTCTAAATGCATTATAGACAAATTAGGTTTCAGATCAAAAGTCAAAACATTACCTTTTTGATGTTTCTATTTTGATTTAATTACAATTGACTAGTGACTTGCTTAGGGTAATCAACTTAATTACGTGTCAGCTACCATATTTTCCGGCGTATAAGACGACCCCCGAATTTTCCTTTTAAAATATAGGGTTTGGACTATACTCACCATATAAGACTACCCCTCTTCCAACGCACACCAAATAAAAATTAAAAAAACATCAACTGGCTCACCCACAATGTAAAAGCAGCTGTGCTAGACCCAAAATGGCCCCTGAAACAAGCAGGAACCTCACACAGCCACAAAAAGCCCAAAAACCCAACTTTCACACTTTACACACACAAAATTCCACATACAGGTTTGTGAGATTTTGTGTGTTTGTGTAGTTAGAGTGAAACACTACAAAAACACACTAAATCTCAGAAAGCTGCACAAATATTATTTTATTTTATTTTTATTTTTATATGAAAGCTAAATTTAAAACTTCCTAAATTTTAAATGGCTAGGTCTAAAAAAGAACAACTAAAAAAAAACCCAATTAACTATTTTTTTTAAAGATCCCAAAGGGGAAAAAAACTTACCCAATAGAACAGGGGTCTCCAACCTTGGCAACTTTTAAGACTTGTGGACTTCAACTCCCAGAATTCCTCAGCCAGCTTTGTTTTGCTGGCTGAGGAATTCTGGGAGTTGAAATGCACAACTCCCTGCCTGCTTGACTGCAGGCAGGGAGTTGCTTGCTGATGGAATGGATTCAGGCAAGCGAAGCAAGGCAAGCAAAGCAAGGCAAGCAGCTAAGGCAGTGGTTCTCAACCTTCCTAATGCCGTGACCCTTTAATACAGTTCCTCATGTTGTGGTGACCCCCAACGATAAAGTTATTCCTAAAACCATCAAAAATATGTGTTTTCCGATGGTCTTAGGCCAGGGGTCCCCAATCTTTTGGACCTCAGGGACCACCAACTTCATAATTTTAAATTTCGCGGACCACTAATACGAATCCAGTGCACCTCTTGCTGAAGCACCTGGACTCCCAGTATGGGATGGGGTCCTTCAGGCACTCTCCCTCCTGTCTGTCTCTCTCTCTCTGTCTCCCACTCTTTCTCTCTCATTCTCTCTTTCTCTCTCTCTCATTTTCGCTTTTTCTCTCTCTCTCCCTCTCTTTCTTTCTCTCCCACTCTTTCTCATTCTCTCTTTCTCTCTCCCCCCTCTCTCTCTCCCCCACTCTCTCATTCTCTTTCTCTCTCTCCCCCACTCTTTCTCTCATTCTTTCTCCACCCTCTTTTTCTCTCTCTTTCTCCCACTCTCTCTTTCTCTCTCCCCTTCTCTCTCCCCCCACTCTCTCATTCTCTCTTTCTCTCCTACTTTCTCTCTCCCCCCACTTTCTCTCTCTCATTCTGATTCTCTTTCATTTTGTCTCTCTCTCTCTCTCTCATTCTCTGATTCTTTGATTCTCTCTCTTTGATTCTCTGTCTCTTTCTCTCATTCTCTTTCATTCTGTCTTTCTCTCTCTTTCATTCTTTGTCTCTTTCTCTCTCTATCTCATTCTGATTCTCTCTGATTCTCTCTTTCATTCTTTGTCTCTTTCTCTCTCTGTCTCATTCTAATTCTCTCTCTTTCTCTCTCATTCTCTCTCTCTCTCATCTCATGGGCCAGCCAGTGTCTTGGGGCTGAGAGGAAGTCAAGCATCTCCCTGAGAGACTGAAGGCAGGAAGAAGTGTGGGAGCGAAGCACTACTTGAATTTGTGCGGCATGAGCATTTGCCTTGGTATATTTGCGCCAGCCGATGGCCAAGGCAGCCCTCATCTCTCTGCTGAAAGTGCAGCATCAGGATTCTGCCTTGGTATATTTGCAGCGCAAGGCAGCCTTCGTTTCCTGCTGCTTGGGACTCAGAGCGGTAAATGGTGACTGGTCCAGGGAGCAGCTGGATTTTGCTCTCCATTGCGGATGCCAGATCAGCCCCCTGCAAGATCTCATCTTTCAAGAAGCGCTCCCTGAAGTGGCACTGGAAACTTTGGTCGGGCTCCTCCAGAGACGAGAGCTTGCAGGGGGCCGATCTGGTGTCTGCAATGGAAAGCAAAATCCAGCTTCTTCTCTCTGCTGTGAAGCTCCGCGCAGCAACCAGCTGGTTCCAGCATTGAGCGGCATGCAGCCTTGACGAGATCTGCACGGCTTCCCGAATCTGAGTTGCTGGTGCTGACTGATGATGCTACGGGAGCGCCGACAACATTGACAGGAAGCTGTGCCGATCTCGTCAAGGCTGTATGCCGCTCAATGCTGGAACCAGCTGGTTGCTGTGCGGAGCTTCACCCAGGCATCCAGGGGGATATTACCGACGCTCCAACTTCCCCAGACAGGTGGGGCTCGCCATCACTGGGGGTCAGCTGGGGAAGTCGGAGCGTCGGTAATATCCCCCTGGATGCCTGGGACGGCGGGGGAAGCTCCGCGTAGCAACCAGCTGGGTCCAGCATTCAGCGGCATGCAGCCTTGACAAGATCGGCACAGCTTCCCCTCAATGTTGTCGGCGCTCCCGTAGCATCATCAGTCAGCGCCAGCAACTCAGATTCAGGTACCCGGTGTATAAGACGACCCCTGACTTTTGAGATGATTTTCCTGTGTTAAAAAGTCATCTTATACCCCAGAAAATTCGGTAATTCAAATAACTCTCGCTATGTAGATGGAAAATATATTCTAACTTAAAACTGAGTGACAAAAAGAGTGATAAATAAAATAAGGAGAATTAAAAGATCGATTTGAAAAGATTTCATTGTCTGGCTTAGTATGCCAAAGAATCTGCTAGAGTCAGTTGACTGACTCTTTGTTTCTAGCTTGTTTATTAAAAAGATTTGTACAGGTGGGCGAATACATTCATCATGAGAGGATGTCAGATAGTTCCTATTTTATTTCCAATACAGCTGTAAACAAATTTTATCTGGAAATTCATGTAGCAAACACTAATCTGATACACAAGGAATGGAGTCCTTTGGGCTTTGCACAAACCGTCAATACTTCAAGATTGCACTGCTGAATTTTGGCAGCACAAAGGCATAGTGCAATTTTGGGTAATTTGAGTGTGGGGAAGGTGACATCAAAGAAACTTTTCAGTTCCAACCTACTTTTAAAAAATATCAAAATGCAATGGAAATCATAACTGCAACTCTTCTTGTGATATCACCACACCACCAATATGTCTGTTCAGTGTGAGGGAACAGCAGATAGACAGGATTTATCTTCATACTGCTCTTTTTGACAAGTTGGGATTCTTGGAAGCATCTTGCTGTTGTTTGCAATTTTCTTGGGTCAGAGGCCATACCAGGCTTTTAAATGGTTGTGGATCATTCATCAAATTAAAAAGTAAAAGGGACTGCAGTTGACATATTTTTAGGCCTCAAGTAGTATAATAAAATTTAATGAACTGAAGTACCCAGAACATGATCATCTTCCACGAGATGGTGTCCTTGCTAATTTGATTAAAAGTAGCTGTATGCATGCTTTCTACCACTTATTTCTGGCAGCAAAAGGTGCAGAACTTAAATCAAGACAGGTTTTTTTGGTTGCTTCTCTGCTGGCTGATTTGAACTTGCATTCAGGCACAACTACAAAGATTTGAAAGTTGAACATGAATGTTAGAAATATTAAACAGCCTATAATTCAGGGGAAGAGGTTTCCAAAAGGAACAAGCTGTTTATTTTTTGTTCAAAAGGCTTCCACAAAAGCATTCAATTCTTTGGCTAAATTATTGGGTTTCTTCCTTTCCCCATTTTCAGTTTTATTTAAGGATTGTGTTCACATTGATCTTAGATTAGTCGTCATGGAAACCAACATTTTTTGATTGGATCGTATTGGGATTGCTGCTATAAATACTTGAAGGTGAAAAACATTTTCAGTAGAACAATTTTATAATAGTTTTGTTTGTATTGTTTGAATAATGACCACTTTAGATGGAAGATTTTTTTGGTTTGTTATCAATAAGCCTATTCTTCCTTTACTGGAAAAATATATTTTATTAAGCCACTATGCGAAGTTGTGATTTCTAAATCTTTCCAATTAGTTTAATTGAAGACATTTATTTGTGGAATATATTACCTTTTAAATTATTAAATTAAACATTTTTATTGATTCCCATTCTTCATAAATCAAATCCTTGCTTATTTGTTAACTGAAAGTCTGACTTCAATAATTTCATCAAATCTCTAATTTCTGTAAATTATAGTTCAGAATAAATTCTATACTGCCCTTCATTGACAAGTATTGCATATTCAGTTTTAAAGGATAAAGCCTGCCAACGAATTTGGTATTCTTGGCTCCAGCCATATGGAAATAAACATAATTTCTGTTGACTTGCACTTTAGTTTTACAAATCAGAAAGCATGCCAATTTTTCACAGCTTATTTTGCTAATATGTCTTTTCTTACATGTCTATTGCTCTTTCTTGGAAATGTAGTAGATGGCAATCTCTAAAATTTTATTCTCTCAGTGCATCCATTTGTGTGCTTTGTTCCAAGTGATAATTCTCTAGAGTTATTGGGAGAGCACCATGTCCTGTAAAAGTTCATCAAAAATTGTAGCAGCATTTAAAATATCTGTGTAATCATCTTTAAATTACTATTCCAAAATGCAAGCTTGAGAGATGTTCAAAAATGATTGCTTAATTACGACAAAATCTTTATCTTGCAAAAAGGTATATGTGGAAAACATACAAAAGTTACAATCGGACTTTTTTCAAATAAAAAGAGAAATCAATTGGCCTTTGAATTCCTCTAGGTGGCATGTTTCACTTTTGTGCTCTTTCATGTCTGTTAAGATCTCTCCATTCTCTTCATTTCTAACCAAATAATACACAATATATTGTAAACAGATGTTTCCACTACTCTTTTAATTAGACTTATTTCTCTCTAGTTCATTTTTCTCCTCTGGAATACTGTACATCTGAATCTTTGTTTCTCTCATATCTTAATATCCAACTGAACTTTGTTATTGTCTCTGCCCACAGTAGTAAAATTATTTCAGGATGATTTTTTTAAAACAGCATTAGTATTTACAGGTGGTCCATGACTTACAATGATTTGTTTAGTGAACATTTGATGTTACAACGGCACAAAAAAAAGTAACTTACAACTGTTTTTCACATTATGATTGCTGCATCATCTCCATGGTCACATGATCAAAATTTGGGTGCATATTTATGACAGTTGCAGTGTCCCAAAGTCATGTCATCATCATTTGTAACTTTCCCAGCCAGATTCACTTAATGAATGCATAATTCATTTAACTGCAGTGTTTGTTTTAAGAACTGTGGCAAAAAAAGGTTATAAAATTCACTTAACAACTGCCTTGTTTAGCAACAGAAATTTTGAGTTCAATTTTCATAGTGGAGGATTACTTGTATAGTTCACAAAAATATTTACTAATGGTTATTTTCCTGAATTTGAATTTCAGCTGATGTTGTAAGTGAAGAAGCCATTTTGAAATGGTTCAAAGAGGCACATCTTTCTAAAGGCAAAAGTGTGTTTCTTGATCAAATGAAGAAGTTTGTGGAATGGCTGCAAAATGCTGAAGAAGGTAATTTTTTAATTAAATTTTGAATTACATGAGCTGTTCTTTGCTTATCTGGACCTCTGAGATTCTTTGGTCCGTGGAATAAAACCTTTTGGATTATCCATTGCCCAAACTAAATAAGCTTAAATAGGCCATGCATTGGCTAGTCAGGTTATGCAATGGCTAATCCCTGGTGAGACTTGAATCAAGTGGAGAATCTTGCTTTGCACATAGGAAGTTTTGGGTTCAGTCTCTATCACTGCTGGATAGGATTAGAAAGTTTTGTTTAGTAATATCAGCAAGTCAGGTTAATAATTTAATTCATAAGAGTTGAGCCTCCTATGATATTTTTGGTCTAGTGTCATCCCCAACATGTTTAAATAATTGATGTGGCTTTATATAATACATTTGCAAAGATTTAGTTGGTCTTCAATTTAGGTGAGGTGTTTGACGTTGTTATAGATGAGCTGCATGCTATTGTTCTTCCTCCAAATGATCAGCAAATAGATTATTTATCTCTTCTGTTGGTGAATTTAGTTCTTTCTATAAATTCTAAAGGAAGTTTTTTACTCTCTCTTCTTTCTACCCATTCTCATATTGCCTTGCCTTGCCTGAATAGTTACTTCCCATTTTCCTCATTTCCATACTTTATTTTTCCTTTTCTGGTTTCTGGAGGCAGGGAAAGGGTATGAACCTGTATGTGACAATTGTGAATGTGAAAATGACAGCTGCTCTCTTCAGGTCATTGGTTCAGGGAACCAATGTCTATCTTATTTTATAGATGGTTAATATTATTTGTCTTTTTTTGTCTCTCGCTGTCTCGCTCTCTTTCTCATATACTCACACATAAATACACACTGTCCATGCTCTTTATTGGAATTTTTAGTGTATATATTAGAGTTCTGCAAATTTTTCACAAAAAGTGCTTTGAAATGCATACCATGCAACAATGTCTTTTTATAGGTTCATACTTCCTTTTCCAAAGGTGTTCCTGTCTATCTTCCTATGATGTATAGCCATGCACAGCCATGTCATTTTACTGGGCAAAATGTACCCATATGGAGATAGCTTGGATTAGTTTCTGAAACTGCCCTATAAACTGGAAAAAAAATTTGGCTGCTTAACATTTTTTTAAAAAGAGGTGTTTCGTATGTGCACATCCACTTAAACATATACAGTATATTTATAAGTGTGTGTGTGTGTGTGTGTGTGTATACACACACACAACCACATGCATACACTGGAGGATAGCACATCAAATTGACAAGGTGGAGAACCATAACATAGCATTTTATTTGTGTTTAGATGTTTAATTCTTTTGAGGAAGTGACAGCTTAAATTCGGCATCATCCTTCTCTATTTCACTATCACTTCCCTGAAACTGAGTGTTTCAGGGAAGTTATTTATTGGATATCATTTGAAATGCTGAATATTTTGTAGTAAAAATTGCAAGATTGCCTATTTCTGCTTTTAAATCAAAGCTATGGCTAGTTTCATAGTGCATACAGCCATAAATAAAAGAACAGATGTTTCATGTCTCAGCTCTTATATATCAATAGTTAATAAGATATTTTTTTAATTGTGATTAATTTCATTCTCCAACTCTATATATTGGCTTGTCATGGAGAAGGGTTTTTTGTATCCTGTTGAAAAGTCATAAAACAAATCCCCTTGAAGTCCCAATTCAGTATAATCTACACATGGGTGGCAGGTTGTAATCATGAATTCGTATTTTGCCTTCAGAATTAAAATTTATTTGCTTTATTCAGTTCCTATAAATTCTTTAGCTTAGTAATTCTTCCATCTTGTTTTTTTTAAAAATAATTGACTAAAGTAACATCTCCAAAAAGAGACTGAATCATGTATTTTTTAAAAAACAGATATACTCAACACATAATATAATAATCTGATAAGCAGTAAGTGAGCCATGGGAAGAGTTATTAAAATAAAAGTGTCTAAACTTCACGTTGGGCTTTTCACAAATAAATGAACAGCAGCATTCCTGTTTTTTGTTGTTGCCTTGTTTGTATGTCTTTAATTGCACCATTTTAGGTGGATTTTAATTGAAAATCAAGGAAAATGATCTTGCAAAGTAAGAATAAATATGATGAAAAGAGGAAAGCATAGCTACATTTCATGGTGTAGCGGTGAAATGTAAAATTTGTTACTACCGCTTCTGTGGGCGTGGATTTGGGGGGGGGCTGAAGAGGTTGTAAAAAAATGGTTTTAAAAGCCTCTGACGATCCTAGCTGACTTGCCTTTTAAAAACATTTTTTCTTTTTCTTTTCTTTTTTTTTTTTTTTCAGGCTTGGGTGAGAGCCAGGAATAAAAAAAATTTTTCTATAACCTCTTTGGCCGAAGAGGTTATAGAAAAAATGCTTTTAAAAGCCTCTGATGATCCCAGCTGAGCTGCGCAATCATCAGAGGTTTTTTTTTTTACTTTTAAAAGCATTTTTTCGGCCAAAGAGATTGTAGAAAAAAATGCTTTTAAAAATTAAAATGATTGCGCGGCTCAGCTGGGAGGTGGGGGGGGGGCAGGGATTTTTGCTACCGGTTTTCCGAACTACCCGCCTCCATCGCTACCAGATCAGGCGATCCGGTCCGAACCGGGAGCATTTCACCCCTGATTTCATGACAGTCTTGTTTCTTTACAACAACACAGGGAACTTGTCCCATGGAAGAAATAGCAGTCTTTGTCCTTCTTTCTCCCAAGGAAAAAGCAGCAGCAGGGAGGGAGATAGGATTGGCTTAGTGATGGGGGAATAGGTTTTAATGCTGAGTCCTAAAGATAGTTGGAACCTGTCCATGTCATTCACATTGGGGAAACCTTGCCTTGGTCTGTTGCAGTATTCTGGAAAGACAAATAGAGCTCACAGCCCTTTCCTTCAAGAAAGGTTGATAAAACAGCCAGACATTGGCACTATATGGTTGATGGTGGGAGATATGGTCTTGTCAGTTTTGTTTTTTTAGGGACCAGGAAAATTTTTGTGGCTTTCAGAACCTGAAAGATATTTAGTGGGAATAGTGGTGAAATAAAGTCATGTCCAGGTTTATTACTATTTTTATTTTGGGAGATGATTGCCAACACTGGCAATTGTAACTGCTACATCTCATGATACAATTATAAAACATTTTAATAGGAAAAATTGGGAAGGAGAGAGTACAACTGCTATACTTTGTGTATCATGAGATGTAGCATTTGTAGTCTCTCCTTCCCAATTTTTCCTATTATAATTTGAAGATTCCCATTTTAAGAAGGCCCCTATCATGAGGTTTATTTTTAATCTTTGTGAATGATTAATTTACAGTCCAGACTTCACCAATGTATTTGTAGGTCTAGTTTGCCCTGCCAGATGCCCACCACATATATTGGATGTTAAATTCAACATGCCCATTAGCACAACTTAATCAGGAACATACAAAATATCCAGCGGAGAAGCTTATTCTTGACAATAGAGGGCATTTACACCACTGATTAAAATAAATGTTTCTCACTTCCAACCTCCTCCTTTTGACTTGTGGCTAATTTATTTATGGAATTAAATATATGTGTGTACATATGTAGCATTTTTAAAGCTATAAGAAATAATAATAATAATAATAATAATAATAATAATAATAATAATAATAATAGTAGTAGTAGTAGTAGTAGTAGTAGTAGTAGTAGTAGTAATAATAATTTTCTCTCTTTTTTAGAATCTGAATCTGAAGGGGATGAAAATCAAGATGGCTAAAAAAAGCACAAACCAGTCAAGATTACAGCTGGATGCTCTTTCATAATTTTGTACTATCCAAGTTTTCTTCCTTTAGTGTCCTATTGAAACTTTAGGCTAGATTTTTTTTCTTTGTTAGTTTGTTTAGAAAAATGAAATAAAATAAATAAATAAAAATCATTATTATTGCTATACATGAGCCTCTTTTGCCAAGCTGTATGCCATGTAGACAATGGCATTCAGCAAGGAGACAGTTAGGGAAATTGTGATTAAAAGCTTAAGAACTTTTTATTAGTATATTTTCAGGTACTTCATTTTCTGCCATAAGGTTTTGTTGTTTTTTTTTAAATCTCTATACTTAGCTCAGTATTTGTTTGTGTATGTGAGTCAACATCACTAAGTTTTTTTTTAATTAAATGGATTTTATATATTCATGTTTCCAGACTTTTTGTTTAGAAGTGGTTAGTATGGAAATAAACACTGCTGAACTTTTACAGCAGAATTATTCAAAGAACTTTACCTTATCCATATGGCAAGCTTCTTCCTTAGTATAACTCACTCTGTACACTACCAATGTGGAATGTTTCCAAATTTGAGGTTGATGCCTCCAGGAATATTTGATGCTGGGGCAGAAATCTCCTGGGCTAATGAGATATTCCACATAAAAACCTGCAATAAACCAAAGGAGAGCCAGCGTGCCATGTGTATAGGTAACACCTATCCAGCCCTAACATATCTACATTAAACTGGATCCTGTTTTCTTTCTTTTTTTTAAAACAGTAATGTGACTGTTCTTACAAGAGAAACAGTGATAAATCACAAAAAAAAGTTTAAAACCTGTTTAATAGACTCGTGGTTATATTAACCAATTAAAATAATTTTCAATCAGTTAAAGAGGTCCTGTGTTTAATAACTGGGTAGATTTAAAAAATATATTGAATTCAAATTATCAACATACAATCATTTGTTTAGTGACTGTTCGAAGTTACAGTGGTAACCATTTTTCACATAACCGTTGCAGCATCTCATGGTCACGTGATCAAAATTCGGACACTGGGAAACTGGCATGTATTTATGACAACTGCACTGTCCTGAGGTTATGTGACCATCTTATATGACCTTCTGCAAGCAAAGTCAATGGGGAAACCAGATTCACTTAACAACCATGTTAGCAGTTTGACAACTCCAGTAATTCATTTAATAGCTGTGGCAACAAACTTTGTAAAATGGGGCAAAATTTACTTAACTATCTTGGTTAGCAATGAACATTTTGCATTCAAGTAGAGGAAATCATCTGTATTTGAATGCAATTTTTTTTAAAAAAAATTTTTTTCTTTTTTGTAGAAAGATTTATTTCTTTCTTAAATAGAAATGAAAAACTTGATTTTCCAGATCAGGGATGAAATCTACTTACCTTCCCTACTGGTTCGGGAGTGCATGCACTGCGTGTGCGAGTAGAGCAAGCGAGCACGCCATTGTCAGGTCCGTTTTTTGACCCTCTGCGCATGCGGAGGGAAAAATGGTTAAAACCAGGAAGTAACAACATCGGGCGGGTAGACAGAGCCTCACGCTGCTGTAGCTACCAGTTCACTGAACCACATGCCGCCACCGGTCTGTGTGAGCCGGACAGGACCGGCAGGATTTCACCACTGCTCCAGATATTGTTGGATTCTAATCCTATCATCCCTGTTTGTTAATCATGCTGCCTAGATTGATATAAATTGAACAAAGATTGGAGGACACAAGTCTGCTAACCTAACTATTTTAGCATTATGCTGTTACCCACATAAAAGCATATTTGTGTCAGAAATATGACGTTTACCTTCTGGAATTTATAACTAAATAGTGAATTAAATTTTATACCTGAAAAGGAAGGATAGAGATCAGTTTTATATTTGCTCCTGAATTATGAAGTCTAAATTAGCAAGGTAATGGCAAATACGTATGATAAATGGTTTTTTAAAAAATAATCATTTGATATATATAGAAAAAATACCTCAAGGGTATTGATAAAATTGCTTGAAAGTTCTGCTGATGAAAAAATCTATTCTCAGACACAACGCATATATGTATCAATAATCCATTGGTGTGCGATAAATGGAGATCTATTCTTCATCTTTATATTAAATAGAGGTGGTAGAATTTCTGAAACTATCTAAGATAAATAGGCATTTAGGAATCTCCAGAACTAACTCAGATAAATAGGTTTAAAAAAGATGGGAAACTTGAATGAAGTTTATAGATTTGATACATTAAAATGCATAGACCTAAATCAGATCAAAGGATTGGTTTGTATGATTTTGTGTTGAGTTCCTTGGTCCACTAGTGACGGGTATCGATTACCAACATAGTTCTAATGCTGAGAGAATAAGTGAGTTAATTTCAAAATGCCTAGCAAAGAAGTAGTAGCAATCTATAGGAAAATTATCTTGCTCATCACATTCCAAACAGGTTGTTTTTGCCTTAAACTGTACTACTGGATAAATTTGAATGCTTTGCCATCTTTACTGATGGGCCTTAATGTGTTGCCTCTAATATGTTCTTTGTCTTCTGTGTCTTGCTATCACATTAGTGTTCCTTTTGCCTCTTCATTCCCCAGTATCTCCATCAAGCTGAGGCCTTTCAGGACCCATCACATGCAGTCATCTCTGCATCCAAATTAGTACCAATCAACAAAAGAAACAGTGTCAGTTTTGCTATCACTTCTATATTAGGCTGAATTAATTTCTATTTCCAATTATGCACTTAAACATCTACAAACCTGCAAAACTGTTTTATATGAAGAAAATCTGTTAGTTAAGAAACTTTCCAATATGCCAAAGTTTTCAACAAATAAAACTTGTGAAAGCCCTTAATCTAAATTTTGGTTTTAGTGCCCTCTAGTGTGGATTAACAGAAATTAGTCTCAGTTTTTATTTTAATTTATTTCAGTCTCCCCGGACTCTAAAATACATCATGATTATCAGGAAAGTTGTATTTTTGCTGTCACAATTAAATGAAGTCCTTTACTGTCCTTACGATCCCTAAATGTATACTGATGTCTCCCAGAAAAAGCTTGTTTGGTTTTATTCTCCCCCACTTCTCTCTCTCTCTCTCTCTTTTTTTTTTAATTTTGTTGAATAGACAAATATATTACAATTCAACCTTTTCGGTTTGGCAACATGTAGTCATACTATATACTTATAAATATGATAGCTAATAGGTTGTATAGATGATTTACAGTTAGAACATAGGATGTTTATGAAATTAATATATTATAAGTCATAATATAATAATACATAAGTTAGATTAGTAGTTAAGCGTTGTTCCCCTTAGTGGTTAACTTTTGCATTTATTTCCCAACCACCTATACCACAAATCCCATACCATATAAAACTCTGAATCTTCCTTCTCATTTAGTACATATGTTAATCTACACATTTCTGCGCATTCCAATATTTTGTTAACTATGTGTTCCTCAGTTGGACAACTTTTCTCCTTCCAATGTTGTGCGTAAGAGATTCTCGCAGCTGTGATTATGTGGATAATTAGATATTTCTTCTTCTTCCCATATGCTCGTTTCAGAACTCCCAGGAGGTAAATTTCTGGTATAAAGGCAATATCCTCCTCTATTGGCTGGTTACCACCTTTAAAGCGCTCCATGGCATAGGACCCGGGTACCTTCGAGACCGACTTCTACCACCAATAGCCTTCCACCAACCAGTCCGCTCCCACAGAGAGGGTCTCTTCCGGGTGCCATCAGCCAAGTTATGTCGGCTGGCGACACCCAGGGGGAGGGCCTTCTCTGTGGGAGCCCCAGCCCTGTGGAATGAACTGCCCCCCGAAATACGAAAGATTTCCGACCTCCGGGTGTTTCGCTGCGCTCTGAAGACCCTGTTGTTCCGCCAGGCAGGGCTATTAACATAACGTTTTAAATTGGGGTATTTTAAATTTCTGGGATTTTAATTGGAGCCTAATTATTTAATGATTTTAAATTTTAAATTGTTGTCGTGTTTTTTGTGTTTTTAAATAGGCTGTACACCGCCCTGAGTCCTTCGGGAGAAGGGCGGTATAGAAATAAAATTATTTATTTATTTATTTATTTATTTATTATTTCTTGGATCCATTTTTGTATCAATTTCCAGAATTTCCTCATTTCAGGACACGTCCACCACATATGGTAGAAAGTATCTTGCCAATGACCGCATTTCCAACACTTAGGGTTTGCATTTGGGTATATCTTTGCAATCCTAGATGGTGCTAGATGCCACCTATACAGCATTTTATACTGATTCTCCTTGTAAGTTACCGCTCTTGTCAGCTTCAGGTTATTGTTCCACACTTCTTCCCAATCATCTAGATTTATTTTTGATCCGATGTTTCTCCCCCAAGCAATCATCTGGTCCTTGAGTATTTCCCTTTCTCTATCATACTCAAGCAGGTATGAATATAATTTGGCTAATAATTTGTTCTCACCACCCATCCATATCTTATCAAAGCTATTTGTTCCCATTTCTATACCATCTTCCTGCTTGTCCTTCCTATATCGGGATTGAATTTGTAAGTAGGGCCACCAATCGATGTGAATCCCTTGCTCCTTTAAGGTCTCATTTGTTTTAAGATTGCCGCTATTGTCTAGAATATCTTGATAAGTGAACATTTTTTCTTTGCTTAGCGTGTTTAGATGGATCATTGCCTCCATTATGGAGGTCAATTTTGGGATTTTTGTGTAATGTATACGCCTAATTTCTTTCCATGTCCTCATTAACACCTCTCTAATTTTATGTCGGTGGAAATATACCCCTGCCCCTTTTCCTTTATCCCAAAGATAGGCGTGCCAGCCTTTTTGCAAATCGTACCCTTCCAATTGTAAGATTCTTTTATTTCCTAGTGTGGCCCAATCTCGTAGCCACACTAGGTTAGCAGCTTTATGGTATATCTCCCACACTGAGAGTCCAAATCCACCTCTATTCCTTTTTTCCTGCAATGTTCGGAATGCAATCCTTGGCTTTTTCCCTCCCCAAATAAATTTCCTGACTATCTTGTTTAATTCTACAAAATATATTTTCCCTACATTGACTGGCGTAGTTTGGAATAAATATATCAATTTGGGGAGAATACTCATTTTGACGGTGGCTATCCTACCTAACAGATTTGTAACTTCCCCCATCGTTCCAAATCTTGCTTGATTTTTGCCAGTAGTGGTATATAGTTGTCCTCTTTCAGGGTTGAGCATCTAGCCGTAATCCAAATCCCTAAATATTTTATCTTTTTAACTATTTGGATGCCCAAATTTTCTTCTAAGATTTTCTGATCTCCTGCTGTAATATTTTTAGTTAACATTTTGGTTTTAGTCTTATTTAATTTAAATCCAGATAACCTCCCATACTTATCTATCTCTTCCAATACTCTTTTCCCGGTTGTTAGTGGCTCTTCCATGATCAATACCAC